AGATAGATGGATAGATAGATAGACATTTAAGTAGATAGAGAAGTAGATAGATAAGTAGATAGATAGATAGATTGAAGGATAGATAGATAGATAGATAGATAGATAGATAGATAGATAGATAGAAAACTAGATAAATATGTAGATGGATAAGTAGATAGATAAGTAGATAGGTAGATAGATAGATAATGTTAGATAGATAGATAGATAGATAGATAGATAGGTAGATAGATAGATAGATAGATAGATAGACAGATGGATGGATAGATAGATAGATAGATAAGAGACAGATAGATAAGTAGATAGATAAGTAGGTTGATTGATAGATAGACAGAGAGAAAATAGCTAGATAGATAAATAAACAGATCGATACATAGATAGGTCGACAGACAAACAGATAGACAGGTAGATAGATAGATAGACAGATAGATAGATATATGGATAGATAGGTAATTAGACAGGCAGACCGGTGCATATAGGTAGATCGACCGATATTGACATTTAGATAGTTCAATCGACGGATAGCTGTAGCATCATAGCTGTCTAACTTCGTGATCATTAACTCTTAACCCCAAAACCCCAAACCTAAACCCCCGCAGCGGGACCCTGCAACTTCAACAGTGGCGCCCGGTGACTGGTGGCCGACCGCGGAAAGCCCCGGCTTGGCCGAAGCCCGGCGAGGTGCCGAAATTCTGCGCGCCTCCGCAGAAGCCGCCGCCCTGAGTCGTCGGGTTTACAACATCGGGCTTATATATATATATATATAAATAAATAAATATATCTATATATATATATATGCATGTATATATATATATATAGGGTTTATATACTGTATAAGGCGAGAGGCATTTGCTAGCGTAGACACTTGCAGCCTTGCTCTGCTTTAGAATGCTTGGCTTCGGGAGTCTTGGCAGGGGATCAGGTATAAGTTTCAAGCGTCGTTCGGCCGGCCATCGCAGATAGCGACGGTAGCGGTGATATCACGCTGATAACAAGCAAATTGCAATGGTGCTGAGGGCTGGCAGGGCCAACATCTATTTGAGGGTTTGGGTCTCAGGTACGTGACCTTGTGGATTTCTGGTCGTAGTTGTGGAAGCCAGGTGCAGTTGTAGTAGTTGGTAGACGTAGCAACGGTAGAAGTGTTATGCAGCCACAAGACCCTCACGAACAAGCAGATACACATCCCAAAGTCCGGCAAGCCCTAGTACATCCTAAGCCCTGAAAGCCCTTTCAACCGCCCGAGACTTAGAACCTATCCCCCCCTCTCATATCCCTCTTCCATTCGGAAACCCAGGCAAACCCGAAGACTCCCATCAACAACGGCAGCAAGCCAGATTGGCCTAAGAAGCAACGCGGCGACGCGTTTAGCATTTCGTCAAGGTGGCCGGATTTGAAAGCGAGAGTCTGAAACAAGGCCCCCTCTTCTTCCCGGAAAGGTACCCTTCATCTAAACCTCTAAGACTCTAAGCCCTATAAACCTTAGCCCCTAAACCCGATAAAGCCCGGAAAGCGGAAAGCCATGGTGCCTGCATCAAGCGCTCCTGCTGCTGCACCTGCTGCATCTGCATCCGCTGCGCAGGGGTGGTGCCCTCACAGAGCACGAGGCATCTGCTGCTAGTCGTGGGCTCTTGATGCCTTCTGAAGTCCGATCGCACTGCAGCTGTAAAGCAAACGGCACAGTTCTAGCCCGTAACGTACACAAAACAGGGCCGCATCGTCTCAGGAGCATGCTCGAAGCATCATCACCGGTGGCCGCTGGCCCATGCTGCCACCGATAGGCGGCCGACCTGTCAGGGATCTAAGACGGCGGGATTTCTCGGTTTTAAATTTGCGTGCTTGCTCTCGCATTGTGCGCGCGAAGTGCAATGAGCTGCAATGAGCTGCATGCGCTCAGGAAGCATCGAAACAAAGGAGGCTGCTTGTGCGCCTTGCGCACCACAACCATTGGAGTCGCCTTTGCAGCCCATGGGCTTCCCCATGCCCTTTTGGCCCATGGCTCCCATGGTCATGCCGCACATTCCGCCGGCGCCCATCTTCCCCTTCTCGTTGCCCTGGGCCATGCCCATGCCACCCATGCCTTGCATTCCTTGGCCGCACATGCCACCGGCCATGCCGCCCATGCCGCCGCCCATACCGCCCATCCCACTGTTCATCATGCCACCCATGTTGTTCATGCTGTTCATGTTGTTCATCCCACCCATGCCGCCTTTGCCCATTTTGCGGGCCATCCCCATGCTGCCTCCCATGGCACCCATGTTGCTGCCCATGTTGCCCATTCCACCATGCATCCCAGTGCCCATTCCCTGCATTTTCGCAAAGACGGAGGTCTGCTGCGGCTGGTGCTGCTCGCCCATTCGAGACGACATGGATGTACCTGACATGGCTTTGGACTAGTGATGCCGAGTTCATGTCTGGCAATCTGTAGCTGGCTCAAGCTCCACGGTCCAGTGCAAGCGACCAGCATGCGAAGTACAGAACCGCAGTTGCTGCAGTCCAACTTTAAGTGATGGCGGGAGTGCCCATGCCACCCATCATTCCAGCCTGGCATGCGGTGTGTGTGTGTGTGTGTGCACGGCCCGGTCTACAGCGCGGTGCAGAAGCTAAGTGAGAGGTGCAGGGCAGCCCTCGTACATGACAAAGGGGGGGGGGGGTAGCGTGGCGCTACATTTGTATCAGCATGTTTCTAGCCCTCATTTGAAGAAGCACAGTGTCTTGATGTATACACTGTCCAACCACCGAGGGGTTCACGAACCAACTCGGCTGATGACGCTGACTACACGCTGCAACTGTATGCTGCAAATCGTCTGTTCGTTCCATTTTTCCATGCGCCCAACTGGCTCACAGTGACGATGCAAACAAAAGGTGCACGCCCCTTCTCAACACGTGTGGTCGGTTGCCCACGCTTTGTGCGTGGCTGGAAGGGCCCCAAAGGCTGTACCTAAAAGCAATGATGCTTTAGGCATCTTTGAATTCCAGCTGGGCTCAGTCTTCGTGGGCACATTCGTGCAGCCATCTGAATCAAATTACTGTAAAGAGTACCACCGTGGGACATGGGGGGGACTCTGTAGAACCCCAAAAGATCCTGAAAAGGACCCGGGCAGCATTTGGCCTCTGGAGTCTTTTAAAGACTTCCCGAAGCCGTTACCGTAGAGGGCTCCCGAGCCCATTCCAAGATGGAAATGAGCATTACAGAGTCACCGGAGCGACTCACGGGAAGACTACCTGGGCATAGCCGAAGATTCCGACTTCTTACGGGCCTTGCCCGGGTTTTCATAAGTGGCTTTAGGTCACTCTGAATCTCTGAAGCGACCTTGGGGAATCTAAGCCTTAAACCTAGAGCCATGAAGCCCGACTCCAAAGCCCACCCTAAACCCTAAACCCTAGACCCTAAACCCTAAACAGGTTTTGAGCAGCACCGGTCAGGAACTTTCCTCTTTAGTTGGACCTGCAGCTGAGACACAGAGCTCCCCTTTTGGGCCTCACCCTCGTGGCCATGTAGACGACGATCATCATCAGTGCAATTGATGCCTTCATAGATTCCTCAGCAACTCTAGCATGTCTTTGCCCTAACTGCCGGGGTATCGCCCTTCCCTATGTGCGCGAAAATATCCTCAAATACCGTCACGTCTCTTCACACCGCAATGCCAAGAATCACTTTTGAGGCGACGAGCCGTTAATGGAACAACACTGGCATGCGACATGCAAGCTGCAAGCCGCAGTAGCTTCCAGAATCCAAACCGCCCCAACGAGGAAGAGCGGTGAACGCTAAAATATCGAAAGTGAATCTTGCCCAACTCAGCTCTCAACGCAAAGGACCAGACTCGGTAACCTGAACCCTAAGAGGATCCGTATGATATCCTTACAGCACCCTTTCAAGCCCCACTGAGACATCCTCATCAGATCCCCTAAACCCTAAACCCCCAAACCCTAAACCCCAATCCCCAAACCCTAAACCCCTTGCAGCCCCGCAAAGAAAGCCAAAGCTCCGTCGGAGCCAGGGCCACAGTACTGGCACTGCCTGTGCACACCATCGGCCCAGCAGCCTTCGTAGAAGCGCAGTAGAGTAATATAACAGTGTAAGCATGATCGTATGATCGTATTATAAGAGTGTAACATGGCGTAAGACTGAAAGTAGACTTAAAGGACGAGGCGTTTGGGGTTGAGTGCCAAAGATTCGGGGGTCCGGGTTCAAGTTTAGGGTTTGGGGTTTGGTGTTTCAGCCATCCAAAACCGAACCGCAAAGAGCTAGGAATAAGAACCTGGGTGATATAATGATCATGGCTTCCTAATAACCCTAAATGACCCGCCTCGCCACCATCCCGATTACCGCCACCCTTGTCAACATCGGCATGTCGCTACTTACAGTCACCATGTCCATTCATTAATGCAGGTTGCTACCCAAGGCTGCGATCCTCGAAATAGGCATCAGCATGTCGTAAGGCAGGGTATGCGAGCATATCCTACTCGGCTCTTGCACTGAAAAAGCAGTGTTCAAAGGCGCATGCACAAAATACTGCACAATGCTGAATCCCGCGACCGAAGAACCCAGAATGCCCCACTGGCATCGCGGGTTCCACTTGTGAGTCTGAGCTGTGCCCATTGGGAACCAGCATTCCCCATCTTCGTAGGTTGGCCGCGCACTTTCAGGGCACTGAATGGCATTGAAGGGCTGAAAATCACAAAACCGGCACTGGACGTGGATCCCATCTGCATTGCATCCCAGCATACCCATCTGACACCTTGGCTAATCTTGGCTACTGGTGCGTCACACCATCTCTGTCTTGGCCTTTGGCAGACGAACTGGGAGTCTGTCTTCTACCTTTCTGCCTATGGCCATCTCTGTGTGACCTGCAAACATGCAAACATCCTTCCAAAGGAATCCATCCATCCCTCCATACATCCATCCATCCATCCACCCAGTCAGCCAGCCATCCGTCCATCTGTTCATCCGCTCAGCCTTTCATCCGTCCGTCAGCGTACATGCATATGTACGTGTATACATACCCGAATATATATATATATATATATATATATATTCTCACATAAACCCAGACAAACATACCAACATGCATGCATACACACGTACATGCATGCATACAGACTAGCATGCACATATGCATACATACACTCATACATACATACGTACGTACATACATACATACATACATACATACCTATCGGCACATAGATACATAGGTACATAAAAAACATACATACACACATTCATTCATACATACATGCATACATACATACATTCATTCATCCATCCATCCATCGGTTCATCCATCCATGCATCCATGCATGCATGCATGCATGCATGCATGCATGCATGCATTCACTCAGTCATTCATTCGTTCGTTCATTCATTCATTCATTCATTTGTTTGATTCATTCGTTCATTTCATTCATACCTTCTTTCATTCATTCATTCATTCATTCATTCACTCATTCATTCATTCATTCATTCATTCTTTCACGCATGCATAGATGCAAACATGTGTATACACAGTACACATTGCATAAATGCACACACATCCCCGGCATATCTACAGTACTCGTATATTGTGTGTCTATGTTTGATGGAACACTTCTCTTGGTAACATCCCAGGCACAAGGTATCCCAGTAGTACGGTGTCACGGGCTCGTTGACAAAGCTGCACACAGATGTTGGGCAACTTACGTTTTCATAGATCCCGTGGCCACAATACCTGCAACCCAGGTTGTGTCCATCAGCGAAGCATCCCAACATGCCGTCCTCGCATGTCGGCTCCCAGTAGAAGGGAACAATCGGAGGATTGTCGAAAGCGCAGGCTCGGCGATTCGGAACAATAGCGTCCTCAGGGCATTTCAGCCCTGTGTATGGAGCCTAAGTCGTGGGTTCGGCGTCGTAGAGTTGAAAGTAACGATGTTTCAGGTTGTGGAAATACTTCCAAGCCCATGCCAGGGAGCCTCCCCGCAAAATCGGCATTGATTGTGAACCCCATCCTGAGCTCAGCGGGTACGAAGGCTTTCTGCAGCTCTCTTTTCTTTATCGGATTTGGCGGTAAGCCTCCAGGCACTGAGCTGCCTTCTGAACCCTCACTTAGCATCACAGGGGTCCTTTTGTGAGAGATTTGAACATGGGACTGAGCCTGCTAATCTTCATATTCAGCATCGGCAACGATGCCCGCAATATCAGCAACAGGAATCAGTGTCGCACCATCATCATCATCATCATCCTCATCATTATCGTTATCATCATCATACATCCGTTCAGATAGCAGCAGTCATACCGGCCTTAGTCAACATCGAGCATGAGGACACTACTGTCTTGGTCATCGCTAGAAGTGCTGGAGACTTAGAGTTCAACCGGAAAGAAGACATACGGTCCCTAGGGCCTACAGCCTGAAAGCTGTAGGAAGGAGACGGAGGGTTATCAGACATGAGAACCCAGTATGAAATGGCCCAGACGATTGCCGAGTTGCTGCCCAACAGCCCAAAGACTCAACAGCACACTTCTCGTCCCAGTAGTACGGAACCTTCGGGAATCAGAACTGCATGGCTGCATGGGGGTCCCGACTCCTATCATGAGGCGGGGACCAACTTCTGCAGCGACTTAAAGACATGAACATCTCAGTGGGTACTGCTGACTCAGCAGTGAGGCCGTAGGTTGGATCTAGGAGCCTTGAGGCTATGACGCACTCTACGAGAGTTTATAGGAATGGAGGTTCAGTTCATGCGGCAGATCGACATGGAGAGGGCTTAGAGGGAACACTGGTGAAAGCCGGTGATTTGGCAGAACTCATGACCCTCGGGGGATTCACGAAGGTGCACTGCTCCGCGGGGACCCACTTGTGCGGTTTGTCCAGATCCTCAGAGGGCAATCCGTAAGCGCATCCCAGGACAAGTGCGACGGCGGCGAATCCCATCATTTGTGTTCCTGGTGTCGGACGTGCGCCGTTCCAAAATGCCTTGACTTGAAACAGCTACGGTGCGGTCTCCTCCCTGATGAGCAGGCTGCCACTTCTCTGACATGCTAAGTTACCCAGCTGCCCCTCTAGTGTTGAATCCGGCACTGCCTACTTTGCAGGAAGCTTGCTCCAATAAAGCCGGCAGCGCTTGGTTCGAGCCCATCTGCCGGCCCATGCCTCATGGACGTCGGAGTCAGTGAATGGTTCTCGGGGCCGAGAGTAAGAGAACGACATTGGAGTAGAGTTTAGTGTCCAGGCTTTAGGCTTTCGGCCGTGTAATGCACAACATAGTCAGGCGTCTAAGCTGGGATGGGCAAGGTTGCCTTCTGCTCAGTGCTCTGGCTAAGTCGCAAGACTTCACGCCGGATACCACGAACAACCATATCCGCGACATTATGTATACATACATACATACATACATACATACATACATACATACATACATACATACATACATACATAAATATGCAAGCATGCAAGCATGCATACATACATGCAGGCATACTTACATACATACATACGAGCACAAATACAAGCATACCTACCTACATACCTACCTGCCTGCCTGCCTGCCTGCCTGCCTGCCTGCCTGCCTCCCTCCCTCCCTCTCTCCCTCCCTCCCTCCC